CCAAACAACTTTCAACCAAAACCAAAATCAGGATTTTCAATACAAATGTCAAGAGAGTTCTACTGTATGGAGCGGAAACTTGGAGAACTACGAAAGCCATCATCCAGAAGACTCAGGTATACATTGAAAGTTGTCTACGCAAAATACTTCCGATTCGTTGGCCAGACACCATCAGCAACAACTTACTGTGGGAGAGAACAAACCAGATTCCAGTGGAGGAGGAAATGAGGAAGAAGTGGTGGAAGTGGATAGGACACACACTACGAAAAGCACCGAACTGCGTCACGAGACAAGCCCTTACATGAAACCCTCAAGGCAAAAGGAAAATAGGAAGACCAAGGAACACATTACGTCGAGAAATAGAGAAAGATATGAGAAGAATGAACAAACATTGGACAGGATTGTAGAGGGAAGCCCAGGACAGAGTTTGTTGGCGAAAACTGGAGTGCGGCCTATGCTCCGTTGGGGGTAACAGGCGTAAGTAAGTAACTAACATCGAAGCAGCACCCACTGACCTTCCAATTGATATTGACTCACCAATTATTGAGAATTCAGCATGGTATTGATATTCATTCTAAAACTCAAGCCCAGTACCCTTCGATTTGAATACCTAACTTTTATCTGCCTCACTACTGTTACTGTACCGAATACCTAACTAAAAAAAAGGCTTGTAATTTATGGCAGTCCTCACAAGACCCACATATTTCTAAAGAGAACGATTATTTTCAATTTGTAAGAGAAAGAAAGATCCAAGAGCTTATAAGTGAAAATAAGACAGTTTAATGCAATAAAATAAGGTTTATTTTTGAATTAATGTTAATTAACCTCTGTTTCTTCAACAGAACACCAGAAAAGACCACAACTATCATATTATGTCACATTCTACTTTTCCTTGTAAACTTTTCAATCATGACATCCTATCAATCAGTTGACTGCAAAAGAATAGCAAAATAACATGAAATCTTCTTTTGTATTTGTGTGTTTGTGCGTGTGTGTGTGTGTAGATGTATTCAATGTGAACCAATTCACATGGTACCTGATCAATTAGCCAAACAAATGTCATTTTCCCGTAAAAATCATCCAATAACTGTTCATATTGGTTCAATATGATTCGTTAATTTTTTTTTGTGTTGCAAAAAAGAAAACAAAAATGAATTTAAAAATTTAGCGTTTTTTTTTTTAAAATTATGTGCTACATTGTGTGCTAATGTGAAAATATGTGCTAATGAACATAGAATGCAATAAAATGCGATATAGAATAATTTCATAAGTGTATGGAAAATTTAATCTTGTTATATCAAATATGATTATTAAAAATTCTGATGAATGATTTGGTAACATAAGAAACATCATTACTTGCACAGTATCACTGTGTTTTAATGAGTTGACAACTGTATTTAAGAAGGCTATATCATTTATATATATATATGAACGAGTATTTGTAAATGTTATTCAGTAGCTGATTAGACACTGTTCCACTTTTATCTTCTCGCTTAGGTGGCCAGTCTGGAGGATTAGAACGTATCGCGGTCAAATCCTGGACACCGCGAATTTTGAATGATTCATGTAGAAGATTGATATATATTCCGGTTTAAATGATAAACCGACCTTAGAAAACTATTGAAAAATCTATAAAATTCAGCAATCTCTAAAAATTTCCTAGACCAAGTAAAATTCATGTCCTCATGAAATATCTCTTTGGAATTTAAGTAACAGTTTTTATTTTCAAACTGAATCCAGTTGAATAAGGCACACTAATTGACCAATGGTAATAAGTGATAATAAGTTCAGCATTATAAATTCACTGTACTTGAATAGATAAAACAATTGAGCACTAGTAGTTAATCTGTTGTAACGATAGTGATAGGTTTATATGTAAGTTATAAGGTTTCGATCCGTGATAAGATAATAGATTAGCATTTTCATTATAATTTATCCGTTTCTTATTATTTACATTAATTAGTCATATAAAAATGATACAATTTTGTTCGTCTTACTTTCTAATAATTATTAATTACAACTAAGTTAATTCTTCACCATTAGTGTTGATTACTCAACTTAACTCAATTGCCGTTCGTTCTTCACCTAGCATATGTACATAGGCATGATGATGAACTTACATTGACTCGCCCTATCAATTTTGTACTGTATATATAAGTTAGTTAGTTAGTCATCCAAGATGAAAACCATTCGGATAGCTCTTAGATTTGTTAACACAGATGACGCTTATGCATAAGTACCTACATTATTTCGTTTAGGATAAGATAGTATTTAACGCAATATGCACATTTCATAGTGAATATTAACATTGAAATCAAAGTCCTACCATTAACAGTGTCTTCAATATAGAAAGATAATTGCTTCTTTAATGCTTGATTTAAATCTTTTTTTTAAAAAAAAAATTCGTTTTCAGTCTCCCCTGCATTGGTGAAATCTAGATCACAAGTTTCTACATCGTCTAGTCATAATCACGTGATCCAAATTAAAGAGATAACTAACTCTTAATTCTAGTTTATCAAAATTATCTGGATGAAGGTCACCAACAGGAAGATTATTATACTTTGACTATTCACACAATTGCATATGGATATTTTAATCAGAAAGCCTTCAACCTTGTATAAGTATCAGTTAGTGCCTGTGTTTACAACAATCTTGAAGGGACTGAAATTACCTGTACTAATCGAATTCACACATCACAGTCGAAGACGTTACATTGAGCAGAGAATAATTTATTCTGAAACTATGGTTTTGGTCACACTAGATGATTACTGATTAGAAACCATTGTCATACTTTCAAAGTAAGCGTTCCACAAATGAAAAATTGAACTAATATAACATTCATCACTGTTCTCAATGATCAGTGTGTTGTAAATACGCCAATACCAAATGCAAATAACAATCATAGCTGGAATAATTCAGTAGTAATATATATGCCCGATCGGTTGAAAACAGATCGAATTTCCAAAGATCATATTTGTTCTTACAAAATTCTAAATGTATCTTACTGATTAATGCCAGCTGGTGGAAATCATAGATTCAAGATTTGTTAACTGATTACCACCAAACATCATGCATCAAAGATTTATTACAATTTCAAGGTGGTGTTATTTTGAATGGATATTTCATTACTGACTGATTTTGTTTTGTGAGGAAAAAAATAAGGTTGATACAAAAACATGATTTTTCTCAAATAAATAACCAATATTTCATAAATAAAGGCGGAATTTCTATATTGTCTGCTTTAACTGTTTATGACTTAATGAAATGATTTTATTTTTTCACTCAAAAATTATAGACTATAAAAATGTGAAATTTTATCATTTAATCAAATCACTTATTCTATCTGAATAAAAAATTTACATTGAATCATCATTAAAACAAGAAAGATCTGTTCAAAATGTTGACTGATGTTGACAATGTCCGATTTATCGAGTTGTTTAAGTAAGCGAATAAAATCCTTATTGATTAATAAAACACAACAGTATAATGTGACCAAGTAGCAACTGTTCACCCCAAAACTAAACTATGCGCATGAATTTCCCAATGAATCGAGGTTAAAAACGAAACCATTGGGACAAAAGTACAGCGTTTTCTTTATCGCTGTGATCTTTTATAATAATATACTTATTTCTGAAATAATTAATATGAATTGAATATTACGAGAGATTGTAAGAGTTCCCCATTAGCCCATTCAAATGTCGACTGTCAGATGACATTTTTCTCCGTCTTATCGAGGCTATTGGACGTGAAGATTGTTTACAGACAACTTAAAGTTACCTTAGAAACGACCCTAGGAGTAATTATTCTCCGTGTTTATTCGATATTTTTAAACTAATGAGTTGAAATCTTATATTCTTCATTGACGAAAACTAGTTTTAAGGATCAGTGAATTTTATTTTAACAACATGACATTTTTTGTGTTTACTGTCAGATGTACGATTCCTAGCTGCTCACTAGTGTAAGCATTACAGTATTCATCTACAAACCTACCACCAATGATCGAACTTGAAACCTTCAGTCATATGAACGAAACACTGAACTGTAGACGATTTAGCCAACAAAAGTAGTAGAGTACATGCGCAACTGCATTCAATTCGTTATATCACACAACCATGTTCTAACGTACTTGACAGGTATCTGCATCACATCTGAACTAGATAAAACCTAACTTGCGTATCAAAAACTCTTTAACTGGATTATCTCTTATGTTGTCTATACTTCGAATTGTTTACGATTTGTCTATATGTCAAGTTAACCATTTATTCAGTGAATGATCGTTTTACTCTAAGAAAAAAACAATTTTTCATCAGATCATACATAAATTATGATGAATTCGTAAAGGAGAAATTTGACTGGTTCACATGATTTGGCCAATCAATATTGAATTGGTGAAATACAGATCACACAATTTTAGCCATCTTCTTTCTAATAAATAAATACTGAGGCATTTCATTTGTTAGTTAATGGGACAGTAACTGGTTTATCCCCAACGAATAAATAAATCTAAATGTATAGTTTGTTTGTACAGATATCAATGAACTAATCAACATGTATACGGTCATCTACACATATATATATATATATGTATATATACGAACTCATATGATCTCACTTGGATGACGAACATTCATATACATATATATATGTGTATGTATATTAAACATTAACACACAGTATATACACTCTAAAAAAGATGCACATTAACAGAGTGACATATTTGCACACACAAAAAAAAACCTTATGATAATCATTCATTCGGAAGTGTATACGAATAAATAAAGTTGTGTTCTATGAAAAAAAGATATAGTATTATACATATACATATCAATTGGAGATGCACATGTATTATTTACATAAAGAGAACAACCTAATTTCAATAAAAATCAATAGCATGAGAACACACAATCATTCGATTAGTTATGCATATTCATTTAATACATGCGGTTATTAGTCAATAATACTATTGGTTATAACTAGATTTTTTTCAACACTAAATTATCATGACATTTAATTTCAATAGTATTCGACAAATTGGTTACTACACACCGACTTATTCAAATTCACCTAATATAAAACGAAATCAACATTTACTGAGTCATTATCAATCGGAATCACATGGATTAAACTGTTTCTCATCATTACATTTGACCCATGATCATGGACACACCATTCTTAATACGGTAGATATGAATCTGAATAATTATAATCATAAATTAAATAGAAGAAATCTACCAAACAATAATAATCATATTCATAATAATAATAATCGTGTACGAATTAATCATACACTTGATGGAAAAACACAAATTATCCATGAAACACCAAGTAGAACACGTCAGTATTGGTTAGATCGACGTAAATTACCAAGCACCAATCGTATTGACAATAATGATAAATACGATTTCAATATGAACACTGATAATACAATGATTTCAAACAAGCTCACCTCAATTAAAACAAACCGTTCAATGTCCAATGATCAATTTCAAACAGCTTCCAGTACAAAAATGACCACTAAAACTTATCCCAATAAAGCTGAATGGAAATCATTGGGAGTGAAATTGAACAGTCCATTTGTGGATAAAACCTGTAAAAAAAATAAATTAAATACTGATATGCATTTGTTTGAATTAACTGAAAATGAATTTATTTTATTGGAATTAGATCCAAGTGTAAATTTCTTAAATTCAAACATAAAAACCGATGAAATCAAAGGAGTTGACAACAAAATACTTTCAAATTTCAATAAGAAAACTGAACAACACGGAACGCTATCAATATGTCAACCGATTGAAAATAAAACCGATCAAGTAAGTTATCCAATTGTTATTCATGTTTCTTAAGATTTTTGTTGAAACACCTATTAGTATATGAAATTAAATTATTAATTATAAATAAATCTACTATTGATATTATTTATTGAAATTATTTAACATGATTTCAGTTATGTAAACTTTTCTAATATTCACTTAGTTTCAATGAGCAGAGTATTTCTTGACTGACACACAGGATATATTAAATATTGATTATACCTTAGAAAAAATGAAAGGTAATCAATAAAATATTGTTGGGATTACATCAGTGGAAATTAACAGTTTTTTCCTAAAAAACCAAATGATATAAGCTTTCGAAACAGAACAGGATGATAATATATCATCATCTTGTTAACTGATATTATACATACCGATTTGCGTGTGTGCTTGAACTTACATGTATTTGGAGGATTAATTGTTAAAAGCAGATGACCAGCATTCATTTTCCTGCACTGGAAAACACACCTTCAGGTTGATCATAATTTTCCTTTTGTCATTTTGTCATCAAAAATGAATACTTGTCAGGTGGAATTTATAGATGGTCGACAAAGGACCGTGTTTAATTTAAGTTTCTTGCCATTTGGAACCCCTCATTAAATTTTATCTGTATTCTTGAGGAAAATAATGCCCCTTAGCGGATATGATTCTATGTCATCTAACTTCTCAGTCAGAGACATTAGCACTAAGCTATCTGCACAGCGGAGAACTTTTATTATGATTGAGATACATTTACAATTGGTCGAGAACTGAATAATGACCAAAATCATATAAGTCAAGTCATTCATCGAAATTTAATGGATCAACTTTAGTGAACACTAAAAAAGGACTTGATAAACACGATGCCACAGTCACTTCCATGTGATTAGCCAAGTAAAAAATCAGTAGCTCAGTGAATAATAAGTTAGAGATTACAGCAAAAATCACCTTGCTTGAGTATCATTATGAACAACAACTTTGGGATCCAAATAAGTCAGGCTGTCGATTCTTAAACATGATAAGACGTTTGTCTTGGTCGCCAATCCTACATACCTACCAAAAGAATAGTACAAACTTGACATATTTTTTGTCTTAAATCTTAAAATTCTAATTATTATTTCTACCATCGATTGATACTCACATCATAAGAGTATGATTTCTTATTAACTGGCATCGGTCAATCATTATTTGTATACAAAATAATCAATAAATAAATTGTTATTTATAATCCTTTTAATAGGTTGTAATTTCAGCGAATTACTTTGACCAGCTTTGAGAAAATTTCTGTTTACATTGTCCATTAACTAGCACATATGATTGACCATCCACAGCGATAGTTTTAACAGAAAAGTCAGCAAAAGGTGGTTGAGGATAGTGAGTAATAAACGCTGGACGTTGGTCTAAATTAGCTGATACTCATTGTACGAATCAGTGGTTATTAGGACTCAATAGTTTAGTGGACAGCGTGATGGCATCTGAAGTGAACAACAGCTCTGGGATGCAGATATATTCAGCTGATGGCTCCAAGTAAGCCGAAGCGTGCATTCTGGATTTTATCGCTAACCACCATCTATCCCTGCTCATAAAATATGACATTTATTATTACTAAGTGGTCAATCGATATTCGGTTATTATAAACCTTACTTTATATTAGCTTTCATTGAATTCAAAAGATGATGAATAGGATAGTAAGATCTAAATTGAGATAATTTAGGCAACTCAAAGAAGAGAATCCAGTGAAGAAAATTTATTTTCGATTAAATCATTTACTTAAGTTGTTTGTACATTCGTATTCATAATTGTTTCATAGATAACTCAAGATGAGAGCAATCACATCCTAATGTCATTCGAGATTTCGAATATTAAAAAAAGAAAGTTACGTGATATTCACCGAGTATTCTCTGTGAATATCGTAAATAGTTAATTTGAAGCTCTTGAAGCTCTCATTTTAACACATTTAGTTTGATAACCATTCAAATTTCAACTACCTACCTACTTACACTTAACTAGGCTTAATTGAAAATCATTAAATTAATTCGAAATAATTTTGTGATTTTCACCGCATATTTATTTAAATCAATAACTATATGATGTAAATAAAAAGTGACTAGAAAATATTATCAAAATTCATGTATTTTTTTCCAATTATCAAAATGTTAACCAGAGTATTGACTGACCTAGACATAAAATAACTCAGACAGCTCCTATATACAATGAAATGTACAATTTATCAAAAAACAACAATAACCACTACTACTACTACTACTACTACTACTAATACTAATACTATTAAATGCACACATATATTAGGCATAGACTGCGCAATCATTCCATTTTCACTCGGTACACTTCGTCAATCGATCAAAAATGTTAGGTATGCTTTATTGATTATTAGCAACTATAGATCGATTAGATTTAAAGAGTGCATGACATCTACTCTACTGATGAATAAAATGTTATCATCTTTTTTTTTCCTTACAAATCTTATGATTCACACAGAAATGAAATTAGAATGCCGACTATGAGTAACTAATTGTGAAAGGAAGATATATTAGAAACTTAAGCAATTAACACTAACTGGTTATTCATTAAAGAGTTATAGAGATTGTTGAGTTTCATTGCAGCTATGAATTGATCATTACTAGACCACCGTTAGAAAACTGGAAGTATTGGATGGCCGTTTTGTCTTAACATGAGACTCATCAGCAGTGCGCATCCAAGATCCTCGCTCCCGGGAATCAAATCCTGGGCCTTCGGTTTCGCTTGCGAACGCTTAACCTTAAGACCATTGAGCTGGCATCCGACGGTGTTGTTATCTAACTTTAGTCAATCACTGATATTATTTGATCATATTTCTGTCCACTTAATAGTTAAAGTTGATACTGATATCTGACTGTTTCAACTCAGCATGAATAGGTGCTCCTTCAGTATAGAAACTTCGTCAGTTAATATCAACTATGAGATGCAGATAAAATCAGTTGACGAGTCTCAAATAGGATAAACAACCGCGTCATGAATTTCATTGCTAAGCACCATTCATTTTATGTTATGATATGAAATTTTGTTGAGATTAATGAAGATGTATTTAACTGGTATGAGAGGAAGAAGTCAACTGAAAAACAAGACATACATTGTATAGATATTTCGTCATAAATTAAACTTGTTCGTAGTGTTTATTAACAATCTTCTGATGCACTTTAACCAACCAAGATTATAGCGGTTTGGAATTATTCGATGTGTAACTGGTGTGTATATTTCAACCTCAGCTAATTTTCACTTGTCTAAAGGTTAAGTTTTTCCATTTTCCTATCCAATTCATACCACCAAAATTAATGGAAATCACTCTATCAGACTAAAATGCACTACTGCTTGACAGTAGTTAGATAACCAGTAAAAACAAGGAAAGTATTAAACACATCTATTTCTTTTATAATGTAGCTCGTCAGTGACAGTGAGTATATACAAACCTACTGAGGATAGAATCCAATGAGTGTATACTCGTTAGACTACTAAGTCACAATTCAACGATTTACAGTTTCAATGTCAATCAATTCACTTTTATTAAATAGTCCAATCTCTTTTAATAACTACGAGTAGATGACTGCTTCATACTCAACATTAGTTATATTTTGTATGTAGAGTTGCTTTTCAGTAGAACTCCGAGTTTTATTTTAAGGAGAACTAATCACAGACAAATGTGTGACAGTGGTAGATGTCATTCAAATTTTTAAATCTTGATACTGAATTTATAGCATCGAATTCGATTATCATTTTCAGTGTATGCATATCTTCTTTTTTTCTATGGTCTTCAACAACAAAACTGTCACCAAATTAGGTACTGTAATCGTATTTATTTATATTTACTTATATGAAGCAGTTAAACAGTACCAATGAGAATATGTGTTTGTGTATGCATGTGTTCTAGTAGTCACTTGTTTATATGCTTTTATCAAGTAAAACAATCTCTCTGTCTATTTTTTTATATATTCTGTTTAATAAAAAGCAAATGTTAGAAATCATTTTTAATTCTTAAATTTAGACATTTTAGTGGATTAAATAAAAAAATTATTTCTAGAGGAGATTTTTTTAGAGACAAACACTACTGAATGTGATTTACACCAAGAAGCAGACTACACTGATAGAAGCATCAATAACTCATTGATTGAACTACTGTTAATTAAGTTTTAAATGAACATTATACTTTATTTAGGATAGAAACCAGAAACTTTAGATTTCATGTTAAACCGCTGTATAAATATGTCTAGTTTGGTGTTCCATATGACTAACTGCATAACTGGACCATCAGAAAATTGTTTCAACATCTGATGATGTACAATTTTGGCTTCGATCGATTCATGATAATGGTCAAGTATCTTTCAACAATTTCTCCAATTCTGATGTGTGGTTGAACTCAACTCGTCCGGAATTCTCAGCGATTGGTATTTAGGATTAAGTTACTAATGAGCATATTATTATTGTTATTATTATTAGAATGAGGGGGTTTTTAAGAGACTGATTAGAATTTCGGTACTGCAACGAAATACTTACCAGTATTTTCTAGTTTTATAAACAAAGTCAGTCCATGATATAAGCTATAAAATCCAACAATTTCAACAGACTTATTTTGAAAATATTCTATTCAAGGCGTCCTAACACTAAACAATTTCATATTTGTCTGATAATTAATGTTGGTCGATTTGTGTTGGCCATTTCTCAGTACGACCTCTGAGTTAAATGGTTGTAGTTTTCGCCAAGTAACTGAGGGAAATCGATACGAAGTTCTGGATCAGCGTTGTAAGCTGACCAGCACTCAGAACTCAGATGTAATCGAATCTGTGGGGTAGCGGTGTTCGAATGTGATCCACGAGGATCGATATTGGTTTATACTTTATTTCTAATCATCTTTGTTCACTAGGAGATCAGTTAATGTCGGTGTCCTCAGTTGAATCATTGAGTTGAGAGGTTTGAAAACATAAAAGTAACCTTGATTTCCTAGGAATTGAAGATCTATTTTGTCTATG